ATTATTCTACTTATACATTAAAGCACTGCCAAAAAAGGCCTACGGCTTAGCTTATACTGGATAAATGGTGAACTAATAATACTAACATTTAAAAAGGTTCAAATGCTTATTTTTATGTTTTATGGGATATTTACATTTAAAGGCAAGAGGAGACAGTTCTAGACTAAATTGTTAATTTACTGGCTGAAAAAAACTTCCACATAAGGTCTATGTAAGTTTCGTCTGTCTTTCGAAGGTAATGCGATGGTTTATTGTTGCCGAATATGGAAGCTCTGATGTGAATTAGTCCCACGCATTCTTCCAATAAGTGATATATTGTTGATTTTGTTGAGTCGCAAAACGGGCATGCTGGTTTATTAGTACCTCTTAGCAGACGGGAATGAGTGGATATGGTGTGGCCGATTCTCAGACGAACAAAGGTTTTGATTTTATGGCACGCTATGTGTGGCGAATACTGAGGCTTACTTCCATAAAAGTTATAATTTCTGTACTGGTGTTGGTAGCTGAGCCATGTTGAAGAAAAATTACAAGTCGTGAATTCTTGTATAAGTTTTTTGATGTTCTTCGGGGACACATAATTAAACAGGTGTAATGGTTCATCATTGCCAGCCTTGGCTATTTTATCAGCATACTCATTGCCTTCCTTTCCGACATGTCCTGGTAGCCACATGATTTTGATTGATTTTTTATGTCGGAAAATAACTTCACGGATTTTAGAAATTATATGAGAATCGTTGGAGCTGCTGAAAAGGGCTTCGATGGTTGATTTACTGTCAGTACATATGACGAATTTCCTTTCGTGTTTAGAGGCAAAATATACAGCTTCTAGTAATACAGCTGATTCGGCTGTGAAAACCGAGCAGTACATGGGTAGAGCCCCGACCGTAATATTATAAGATAAATGCGTCAGTAAAAATCATGTTGGTGAAAATGTTGGACCAAAATGTTTCAATAAAAAAAATTTATTTTAGGCGGGACGAAGTTCGCTGGTTCTGCTAGTGTTAAGATATATTTGGTAAGGTGTTAAACATCGGGTTTTTGCAAAAAGTAAAATTTTATTGCGGATTCCTATAAAATACCTATCCAGATATAATATTTGTATGGCAAGATTTTTCTTTAAGGCGACAAACCCCTAGAAATGGGCGTGGCAATTGCAGGGCTAAAATTCGCAAAACGCAGGTTTTATTGCGGATTTAGGCAGAAATCGCTTCGTTATCAATATTTGTTCCACAACTTTTGTTTTTGTTTGCGGAAAATTGTGCCCCTTATTCTAATTACCTTAAACGAGCAATTTTTGTGTATATGTATATGTATCCATAAGTTTCTCGGCAACGGCTCTAACGTAGCAAAATGAAAAGTCGTTTTAAAAAGACTTTCGAAGTTGTATTTCTTCCAATTGTCAAAAACTTTTTATTTGTCACCGAATCGCTTTAATGTGAAAACCGGAGACGCCGAGGCATACTATCGCATTGCTTTTTACATTCCCTTCCTTGATACATATATTGCTTATTTGAAAAGTCGGTTCCTAAACCATAAATCAGTTTTAAATAATTTTAGTGTTTTGTTTCCAAAGTACGATTTTAACGAAAAAAAAACTGAGGAATTGTTTGCTTTCTATGAAAAAGTAATCGACTGCTCGAAAAAAAACTTTCTTCTGGAGGTAAAAATGTGGAAAAAACGAGTTTCACACGAACATTTTCGAAATGCTCTCGAAGCATTACAAGTGGCTACTACACATGATTCAATAATACAAGGTTAGATAATTATTGACAGCTGCGGTTTGACACTCCCTTACAAAAGGTTGCATTTGCGAAAGACAGAGAAAGGGCAAGAACGCAATCCCTTGTTGCGAAAATGGTAGTAGAAAAGTACGCAAAGTAGGCAATTAGTAGTGAAATTCCTTTTGTAAATTCTAATGTATTTGCAGGAAATCTGGCATTTTAAACGAAATATTGAACGTAATATTGATTTACCTACGTGAATTACGTAATTTATATGCTATTTAGCTGTATAAAAAATGCAAAATGACTCAAAATTAAAATAAGACTACTATGAAATTGATGTAAACATCCAATGCTTATGTTTTCATTAGTTAAATATGCTTCATATGCATCAACAAATAAACATATTGCACAAAAGCTTATACTTTTATTTCACACCAAAGCTACACTGTTTCCAAGTAAATTTGCAAAGAAGCAACACGGTGCCACTGCTAAGGGAGCGGTGCGAGAGAGACAACTGTCAGTTTATCGAACCTTGTATTATTGAATCATGGCTACTACAACGTCTTTTGGGAATGTTTTTAAGATCTTACGTATATTGGCACTTTTGCCCGTTTCAATAGCCACACCTGAACGAAGCTCTTCATGCCTGAAAAGAATTAAAACCTACTTGAGAAATACAACATGTCAAGAAAGGCTCAACGGTCTAGCATCCATGAATATTCACAAAGATATAAATTTTTCAGATGACGAAGTTCTAGAAGAATCTTTCAAAAAACCACGAAAAATTTGAAAATTCTTTGTTTCATTGATTTATAAGTAAAAAGAAAAATTTAATGTGTTTAAAATTATCAAAATGTTTTATAAATAAAGCGAAAAAATTAATATATGATTTTAAAAATTCGTGTTTTGAAACTTTATTACGCATACTTTCTTCTAAAGAGCCTTTGTTCTATACCCATATTAGTAAACTATTATTCTTCGATTTCTATGGCCTTTGTTAGACATATCATTTTGTCTCGGGGCGTGAAAGTACTGTAAAAAATGTTTTTACTTTAAATGGAAAAACTGCGAAACCGGATTTTTTCGCAAAAATATACAGTTTTTTGTCCAAAAACAGATACAAGAATTATGTATGTCGAATACTCACTAGCGGATGTCCGAATATTATTTATGCTTCTTCATCGCAACAAGAAATTTAAAAGCATTGCTCATAAGGGGCCTTAAATTAAACAAGAAAAATGGCAGATGACACTGGAGTCGAGGGATTAACGGGTAATACCTTTATGATAAGAAATGTTTCTCAAAAAAAAACAAAAATTGCCCCAAACATAGATAGCGCTGGAATCAAAACATTTAAATGCCCCTCTAACTTTTTAGATGACTTAAAAAAGCCCCATCCTTTAAGTATGCACACAAAGAAGCGCAAAATTGTTTAAGCGCCAAATACATCCTAGGCACATTAACGGGTCATCGGTATATCAAGAAAAAGTGACCTAAACTAATAACTTTAACTTTACAACCCTTTTTTGCTTTTTAACACTATTTGTGTATTGGTCGAGGCAAAAGCTCTTATCAGCCGTCGCGAAGCAAGCCGGGCGTTTGCTAGTATTTAATAAAATATAAAACTACTAGTGAACCCGCATGGCGCCAAAACGCCAGCATTTAATTAAATTTTTTAAACAGGTGAAACCCTATTCAAAAACCTCTAAAAATATTCCTAATGATTAATCTAAACCATTTCTCAGTGAAGAGAGGCCTCGCATGGTGTCGGTTTTCATTTCATCAAATTTCAAATCTCCCTGTAACTTCAAAATATAAAACCTGTGCACATCTATGTAGAGTCCCAGTTCTTTAATTTGACTTCTCATTTTGGAAATTCGAAATAACGGTGCAGATGTGACGACCTGCAAAAAAAAATAGATAGCAACTCTAATTAAAAATAATATCAGCCTATAACTTTCTTAAAACTCTTTCGTTTTACGCTAATATTTCGATAATTTATTTATGTATCTTTCGTATAAGTTAAACAAATTCGACTTTTCAAACAGGTGGCAACCTCTTTAAAGGTATTTTCAAACTAAAATCTTTCACCTGGCATTGTTATACATATTTCAATTAACCGATGAATCAAGTTGAATTTAATTTTTTAAGCACATGGCAACTCTCGTAAATACAGTTTAGAAATAAACTATTTTCAAGCCCATTTCGATTGATACCCATCTTTTGACAATCCATTTAACTTATTAAATAATTTGAGCTTAATTTTTTCAACAAAGAAAAACAAAATTTCAAATGAAAGATTTCTTAACAATATTTTAAAATTTCACGTAACTTATGTACAATTAAACGAAATACCACTTTCAAAACAGGCGGCAACCCTCTTACAAATTATTTTCGAACTACAATTTCCTTAAATATTTTTCGTCTGACATTGTTATAAATATTTCAAGTAACTGATGAATTAAGTGGAAATTCATTTTTTAAACACCTGGCAACCCTCCTAAACATTGTTCTTAAATAAAGGATTTAAACCCATTTTCATTGATAACCATCGGTAAGTAATTCCTTTAACTTATTAAATAATTATAGTTTAGCCCTTTAAACTGGGCAACCCTCAAACACATCAAAAATGTTCTAAATTGTCACACTAAGTATTTCTTGAAGCTCTTTCATTTGATATCCATCGTTAATATTTCATATAACTTGGGTATAAAATAGTTCAATTAGACTTCTCAAATAGGTGGCAACCCTATTCGAAATATTTTCAAACTACTACCTTCTTAAACCTCTTTTGTATGATATCCATATAGCGATACTTTATTCACTTACTAAATTCCTTTAATTAAAATTGAATTACATTTTTTTAACATGGGGCAACCCTCCTATATGTAGTTAAGTTAATATTGATTTAACTTTTTAATTAATTTGAGTTTTATTTCTTAACAGGTGACAACTTTTTTCGAAAAAGTAAAACCTTCTTGAACATCCACACCCTAAGCCCTTTAATTTGGTACCCCACTTTTGAAAATCGAATGGACGGTGCGGATCTGAGGGCTTTGATTAGTAAATAACTTGAGTTTAATTATTTAACAGGTGGCAACCCTTTTCGAAAAAATAAAACTTTATTACACATCTACAGGCCAAGCGCTTTAATTTGACACCCCATTTTGAGAATCGAACGAACGATGCAGATCTTTTATGCTGCACAATAAATGCCTTCGCGTATTATATATATAGATATAGATTCTAATAAAATTGTAAATGCCATTTTTCCAGACTCACCATCGGAACTCGAATGAAAAACGCATGTCACAACCGCACGAAAGCGCTCCCCAGTCCGGAAATTTCTTCCACCATAATGGTTTGCAACACTCGGCTTCGCGTTCTACATTGCGACATTCAATATCTACTGCATCCTCGAATTCCACACCTGCTTCTCCACAAATAAGTTGTATTGGCTCGACAGGTACAGGAAACTTAGTGAGAGTTGCAAATAAATTGCTGTTAAATGGCCAGCATTATCAGTCGCAATCATCGGTCTTATCACAGACGTCCCAGTCGTCGATACCTTCCTCACAATGCTTGCTGGAGGAAGCGCTTGCGAAGACAGCCCCTTATCCTATGATTATTTTGCCACTAAACGGTGGCTATTGGGTAGACGGTACGGATCATGAGTGCTCATTTGATGCTCGTGGAAACCCAATGTTGCCAGAAACCACCTGGATGGCAAAATTCGAGACAGACGACACGGCGAAGTGTTATCGACGATTTTATGCGGCGCGCGAACATGCAAACCTTGTGGGTCACGACGAGCAGCTTGGGCCAATTTTGATATCCGTAAAGACCGAAAATGTAGCAAACCAAGAGCATGCACGCATCCTCATACGCTTGCGCACTAGTACAATGCATGAACTCATACCAATGTCATGTTTGGGACCAAATCCGACAACAGCAAAGATAGTGCGATTTCTGAACGACCAAATCACAGTGGAAAATTATGTGCCGATATTGTGTTCAAAGGCATCTCATTTGATTAGCGCCTATGATGAACATGTGCTCGTAACGAATTTTAAATTCGGAGTGCTCTACCAAAGATATGGACAAACCACAGAAGAGGAACTATTTAGCAACAACAACTCATCACCAGCTTTTGAGGAGTTCCTAGATATCTTGGGCCAGCGTATTAAATTGAAAGACCACAAAGGATATCGCGGTGGTCTGGATATACAGAATGGACATACAGGCGATACAGGTATCTACGAGGTTTTTAAGGAACGAGAGATCATGTTTCACGTATCGACAATGCTGCCTTACACCGAAGGGGACCCTCAGCAGCTGCAACGCAAACGACACATTGGCAATGATATCGTCGCGATCGTATTCCAGGAGTCGAATACGCCATTTTCTCCCGATATGATAGCAAGTCATTTCCTGCATGCTTTTATCGTAGTACAACCGCTCGAACCAAACACACCGAATACGCGGTACAAGGTCAGCGTTACAGCTCGCTGCGATGTACCGTTATTTGGGCCAACTCTTCCTAATCCAGCAATTTTTCGTAAAGGCCAGGATTTTAAAGAGTTCATTTTGACTAAGCTTATCAACGCGGAGAACGCCTGTTATAAGGCAGAGAAATTTGCGAAATTGGAGCTGCGCACACGCACTTCGCTCTTGCAAAACCTGGTTGAGGAATTGAAAGAGAAAACTCGTGACTTTCTAGGGACGGATTTCACGAACGGAGTGACTATCAGTCCAACACCGGAAACACCAAAGTCAGAGAATAGTACAGCAGGATCAAGGTTATTTGACACTGTAAAGAAGGCGCTCATCTCGCGTGTGCGTTCACAGAGTGTTGATACGGGCAACATGGCACTATTTAGTGTCTCGACGAAGATGAACTCGTCCGCTTTATCGACGAATTCGAAAAAGGATAACAGCTTAACGGAGACACAAAATTTGAATGTAGGTATTGTTAATAGCAGCAATGATTTTGCAACTATACATATTTAGTATACACACTACTAACTTGTCTTTGTGTTTTATCTCATTACAGATATGCAGTCTCACTGCTTCAAAATCTACCTCGAAATCAAAATCGTCGAACAATTCCACCTCTTCTTCACCTGATATAACTTTCCGGGGGCCCCTGAACAGCAACAATGCAAATAATAACAATAATTCAAATCCGGTTGGATATGTTTTAGCTAACGATGCACAGAACGAAAACCACTCTGCTGTACCAGTCAATGCGGTTGCGGGGACTGTAACAATGTCGGAGACCAGCGATGACTCCAGCTTGAATAGCGTGGATCTAGACCCTATGATAGGCCAAATAGAAGGCGGCGCAGTTTACATCGATAGCGACACAGGACTGGAATCAATGTCCTCAGCGGAAGCGATGTCGTCGAATAAGGCAGCATGTTCGCTGTATCTAGATGGCTCCCAAGTTGTTATGGGCTCTCCGCCAAGGAACGAAACCATTGTCATGATTGAGAATTTGCGGCAAGAAGTTACAAGACTCAAATGCGACAAACTAGACTTGCTCAGGCAGAATGTGGTACGTTAAAACTCGGAATAAAGTTTGAAAATATTTAACACATACTAAATGTCTCAGTAACTTTTCTTTCTATCTTCGGTTTAGACGTGTCAGCGTGACATAAAACGTCTGCGCGAGCGTGAACTTTCACTCCAGGGTGATTTGGCCGCCGCCGGGAAGGAAATTTTACGATTACGCGACCTGATGAAGGAATATATGCCTGATCCGGTAAAGGCGACTTTATCCATCTCACCAATCTAAATTGGTGTGGCCTCCAGATTATTGTTATTGAACGCATACATTTGGCTAACAAATACAGATTAATACGGTGCAAGCAAACATAATAGCAGGGGGATACTTTGTGCCGCGTCAAACACTCGTGTTAGCTTGGCTTTTAAAAAACCGAACTGTACAAGAAACAAAAAAATATATAAGAAAATGGGAAATGAAATGGTAAAATAATTGGCTGTACGAGAAAGGCGAATTGAATTAATTCCACACAAACACAAATATTTACACCAAAAATTTGTTATAAGACTATTAAAAAACAAATATTTAAACAAAGGAAAATCCGAAAAAATATACTATATGGACATACATACATACATGTGTCGAAAATGAAACGAAAAGAAACTGTTGTGGTGAACATTGTTTGGTGGTAAAAACAGAACAGTTGCTAAATAAAATTGGTAGTTTTAGGGAAATTTTTGATCTTAGATGGAATTATTTAGGTAATATTTACAGAACAGATACATACATATTTACTGATTTCTTTTGATGTCAATTAACAGACTGAGAGAAATAGGTTCAGTTTCTCTTAATTTTAAAATTGTTTAATACCCTAAAAAATAATAAATTCAACATTGAATGAATTTCCGATAATGACTGAAATTTTAAATGAACGATCTATTATCTATCACTTTTTTACTATAAGAAAAGAATATTCAACAATTTATATTGAGCTCGAGGCCGTTTTTTAAATGAAAATTTATTGGGGAAAAGCAACAATAATTTGAAAAAAATGGTAGAAGTGATAGCTATTTCGGAAATCACCACATTTCCTCATCAGACTTCTTTCAGTAGGATTTTAACCGACGATCTCACTGACTCAGCCAGTTGCCTATGCACCGTGCTAAGTACGCCTTGTAAATTATCGTTTGCTTTTTTCCACTATTTTCATTTTTGTTATGCCAACACAATCAAGCGCAGCTATTCCCCTGCAATTCACTTGATCATGTGGTTGTTGGTATTGTTGGTTTTTGCTAATAATTCTATTTTTAGAATGTTTAACTTTTAGGTGTGCTCGTCCTTAAGTTATTTGTTTTTGTTATTTTTTTTTGGCCTTATAATAATAAACAAATTATATTGAGTTCGAGGCCGTTTTTTTAAATGAAAATTTATTGTGGAAAAGCAACAATAATTTGAAAAAATGGTAGAAGTGATAGCTATTTCGGAAATCGCCACATTTCCTCATCAGACCTCTTTCAGTAGGATTCGAACCGACGATCCCACTGACTCAGCCAGTTGCCAAACGATAATTTACAAGGCGTACTTAGCACGGTGCATAGGCAACTTACTAATTTGAAGAATTTTTTCATCCAAATACGTAAAGAACTATTGTTATATATTTTTAATCAATAATTCGATTCATTTCAAAGTATTCTTTTGCGATCCAAATACGCAATGAGCTGCTTAGCCCAGTATAACTACATAGACCAAATTGGTACGAAGAAAACAAAAAATTTGTAACAACGATTTTTTGGTGCAGTTTACTTGTATTTGACACGTAGATCAGAATCCACTATCTTGCCCTTAAATTTCATGTGGCAACATTCCGCCATCTTGGATTTTAGGTTTTTTTGCGACACAAAACTTTATAGTACAGTTTACAATGATTAAGGTCTTAAAGTGATCACATATACTACGTTTATACGTAAGCTATTTGCAAATAAAAATAATTTGCAAATACCTAACTCACTGTTTATTCGATGGTGAAAAATTCTTTTTAATATTGCCTGATTATAAAAGGGCAATAATATGACCATCGAAAAAGAAAATAAAGTTAAAAATGGCAACGTCTTGATTATAAAAAAGCAATAAGATGACCATCGAAAAAGAAAATAAACCTAAGAATTGGCGGCGTCTTGCGCTTATTTGCAAATAGTACCACTAATCAATACTTATTTGCGTGATTTAGTTATTTGCAAATAAAAAATTAACTCGGCGTTTATACGGAAAAGTTTACCATTTTGCAAATTGTTATTTGCAAATAATACGTGCGTATAAACGCTGTAACTGACGCCCCACCGCGTTAAAAACAGTGTGGCCTTTAAAAAATTCAACAAGGCGTCTCAAATATGGCATCTAAACTAACCGTAAATTAGATTTTGCTTTACAGCTTTTGTGCCACCGGAGAACCCCACAGAAAAAATAAAAAGTAACAGCAGATTCTTATGTTTTTGAGGTTGCTGATTAGGAACCTAGAGCATGATTTCAAAAATTCGTAATGGTGAATCCAATAGGGGGCTAAAAAATTAAAATTGATTCGTTCCGCTTAGAACGTTTTCCTCTTGGGTTCCTGGGCCGCTTATTACGAATCTGAGGTCAAAAATGGCAGAAAAAACATTAAAGTCGATCCGTTTGGTTTTTGGGGTTGTTGATTAAGAATCTGAAGTTAGATTGGAAAAACTCTAAATGACGGACCCAATATGGCTGCAAAACAAATTTAAATCGATTAGATTCGTTCAAAAATTTACAAACAAGGGTTCTTAAGGTCTTTGATTACGAATCTAGAATCGGACTTTTAAATTCAAATGGCGGATCCATATTGGAAAAAATTGAAATCGCGCGTACGTACCTGGCGTATCAGTAACACTTTAGTTAAAATCTGATCTGTGGTGCGATTCACTACGCGATTTTAACAACTCTTGTTATTGTTAAGTCAGCTAAACGACAATTTTAACATTTTTATTTTTAATATTTTTATTGAGCTTTGTACCACGATTGTTTATTGGGAAAAATTGAAAAAGCAACAAAGTCTAAGCGGTAGAAGTTATAGCAGCTATTTCGGAGATCACCACATCTCCTCATCAGACTTCTTTTTTCTAGACTTCAGCAGGGATCGAACCTGCGTAATCATTGTTCAAAGTCAGAAGCGTTAACCACTGAGCTATGTACATCCCGTAAACTCTTGTTGCTAATTCATTTTCCTTATTCAACCAACTACTATCAAGTGCAGCTGATTTGCCGCTATTTAAACTCGACAGCGTGGTTGTTGTTGTCAAATCTATACATCCGTTTGCTTGTTTGCTTTTTTGTGTAGTTTCAGGCAGGCTCTTCCTAAACTATGTATTTGTCAATGTTATTGTGGCTTATTAACATTTTATTTTTAATATTTTTATTGAGCTTTGTACCACGATTGTTTATTAGTTAAAATTGAAAAAGCAACAAAGTCTAAGCGGTAGAAGTTATAGCAGCTATTTCGGAGATTACCACATCTCTTCATAAGACTTCTCTTTTTCTAGACTTTTGCAGGGATCGAACCTGCGTAATCGATGTTCAAAGTCAGAGGCGTTAACCACTGAGCTATGTACATCCCGTAAACTCTTGTTGCTAATTCATTTTCCTTATTCCTACTGTGCAGCTGATTTGCCGCTATTTAAACTCGACAGCGTGGTTGTTGTTGTCAATTCTATACATCCATTTGCTTATTTGCTTCTTTGTATAGTTTTAGGCAGGCTCTTCCTAAACTATGTATTTGTCAATGTTATTGTGGCTTATTAACATTTTTATTTTTGAGCTTTGTACCCCAATTGTTTATTAGGAAAAATTGAAAAACAACAATTTTAACAATTTAGATATTCGGTAAACGTTTCCCTAACAACATTCGTTAGCGCCAAATCAGTAGTAAATTCAATAGAAAATAATTATATGTGCATAAGGAGTTATTTGGCTTCCGATTGTTGCAGTGTCATAAATTCTCAACAAAAAAGTACACTAACAACTGGGTGTTATAGACTTAAATATGTAGAAGCTATTTTCAAACTAAAACCTGTTTTATTATTTTTCTATATTATGTATATCACGGCCCATAATATCCCGTGGCATTGAACTATCTGAAGAAAAGCCGGGAAAGATAACGGTAAAGAATTTGCGTAGCATGAAAGGTAGCTAAATAACTGCTAAAGTAGGCAGACATCAGAATATAATAAGAAATTACCTTAGAAAACTCTGTAGACTATGGGAATCAATGGCTTAGCGGTCCTTTACAATCCTCAAAGAGTGATCCAAACGGCATTTCTAAAGTCTAACTACTAGGGACAACATGATTTGCTGAAAAATGTATATGTAGTTGAATTTATCTGTCACAAGGAACAGTTTCCAACAAATAATAAATACGGAGTTGGTACCTAGGCTAAATAAATAAACTGCTAAACCACAGCTCAATCTATGGCACGAAAATACGATTTCGACATTTAACAAAAAATATAAACTTTGTAGAAAAAATTGAAAAACGATATTTTCGGTGATAAAAAAAAAATGCAATACAGTTGATGCGGACGCCTACCATAAATATTGGAGACTCATTTTATTTCCATGACAAGCCTACCTTTGGCAAAAGGAATCTCTTATGCACGTATAGCTTTGGAAAATATATAAAATCTTTTTACTTTGAGAAAAATGAATATCCAGAAGTAGAAACATTCCTTATGCATCGGATTGATTAATTTTTCGAGCAATACAACCGGAGATATTTGAACTTTCCGGCGGAATATCGATGTTATTCACACAGTGCAAACAACCAAATCGTTATTCAAGGAAAGAAAACCCCACTTTTTGAGGGTCTACCTTAAAATCAGGGCTTGAATTCCCCAGAGGATTTACAATATCTACTATTAACAAGATTTCATGCCACGAAAATTCATTCCCGTTATCTTACCGGGCTCGGGATATTATGGGCCTTGATATAATATGGAAAAATAATGGCCCCTATTATGAGTTGCATTCGGACTTCGACTGTGGTCGAAAGTGCTGATCGAACGAATTTTCATTTGGTATTATGGCGTTATGGTATTAACGCTATTGTGAATTTCGCTAGTTTAGGTTGTTCACAATAGTATATTTTTCACCGCTGAGAAGCTTTGTTTACAAATCGAGCAACTATATAGTCCCTGCAAACAATTAGGTTTGATATACATTTGAGAATGATTTGAAATCAAAGCCTTTATCAAATGTCAAACGTTTGAAAATGATTTGATACTGATTTGAAAATTACAGCTTTCTCAATAAAAAGGGGAGTTTGATCTCCATTTGAGAATATGGTTAACTCTCAAATCAATTTCAAAGGTTATTTATCAAATGTACTTCAAATGTGGAAATAAAATTTATAATAGGAAATGTATATTTCATATTTATTTTTTCTTCGCGATGTACATATGTATGTACATAACAAAAGAAACAATTAAGAAAAAGTAATTTATAATAAATTCGTCTTGAAGGGTTGCAGCTTTTTCAATCCGCGCAAACATCAAATCCACTATTTGTGGGCTTTCTCTTTGAAATTTTTTCTATTCATTGTTTTGTTTTTCAATTGATCTTCACTTTATTGTTAAAATTTTTGATTTAACTGCGCATTTTTATAACGTTTGATACTTGACATCTTTCTTCAAATCAACCTCAAATGAAATGTAAAATTTAAACCTCG